GAGGGAGTATCCTCCGGCTACCAGCCACCCGAGAATGGACAAATAACCTAATACTGTACATGTGGTGCTTGCAACAAAATGCTACAGCATGGGAATATCAGCCACTTCATCTTCAACTGCTTCCCTTCCCCAACTTCCCACCATTCGTATCCATGACAATTTAGTCTTCACACTTAGTGGCTGTGGCCAAGATGCCTGTTTAGCTACACCTTTAGTCCTCCTGACTACAGTGGATAAGGAAGAGATGCTCAGCTCAGTCCAATACAGTCTAAATTCTCTTTCCAGGAGGCTGTGGTCAGACTGCTCTGGAAGACACTGCCCCAAAATGATGTTGTGGGGGGAGGGGGGAAGTGTAGGCTTGTAGCTGACTTTCATTTCTTGGAAAAGGAGTCCCATCAATCGGTGACACTGATTTTCTAGATTCATTTCACTCTGACTTCAGGCCCTCTTTTGAATCAGATATGGAGTTGGCTTCTCTGGAATGATGCATTTCAGGAAAGGGACAGAAGAAATACAGCCTCATGGACTTCTTTGTAGCTTTTCAGGTCATTGAACTAGTTATCTTTCTGGTTCTGAAAGGAGGATGCAGGGAGACAGCTGATCCATTTCTACTCAGCCAATTCCAGAAGAAAGTGCTAGGAAAAGACTCAACTGCCCCATGACAGTGATATGGGTTCCTAGCATTTTATATTATCCCCCATGCCTCTCAGTATCAGTACAAAATGTCAGGCCAGATAAAGAAGATAAGAAGGACCAGGTATCACCAGTAAACAAATCACACCCAGATCTACCTTCCTCTTTCATCTAATACAAATGAGTCATTGGATTTTCTAAACCCAAACTAATTAACTAAGACTCAATCCAGATGAGATGAAATGAGTGGTTGTGGTATTGTTTGGTTAAGTGATGCTCAACTTGTTCATCATTTGCATCTATTCCAGGAACCATCAACAGTGCAGAACATACACTTCATAAAAAAATAGGGGAAAGCCCTGAGTGGCTGCTGTATTCTGTCTTTTAGCCATCATGAATTTTGGCTGCTAGAATTTTCTCTTAGTTTGTGCAAGAATTAAGCCCAGTTCTTTTGGCACATCAAGGGTTCTCTTAAAAAAAACACAAAAAAAACACACCTCCTAATCAGCTCTTTAATTAGCTCTTTGCCAATAAGCTAATCAGAATTCCCAAACAAAGTAAAATGTCTACCAACTGCATGACAATATAAAGCATCTTAATGTTTGGGGCTTGAAGATATATTTAGGAGTACAAACTTGCAGGATATTGAGTGATATTCTGGATGGGGATTTATTCCTTTTAAAAACCAAGCCTGCCATCTGATTATAATCCAAGAATCAGCTTTACCCCTGGAGGACATCGGTGGACTCATAACCTATGTTTATTTTATTTTACTTATTTATTATTTTATTGCCTTTATTATTATTTATTACTTATTTTATTTTATATATTTTACTTTCTGATCCAGTAAGCCCTCAAGACAGCTAGCATGTTTTAAAAAGGAAAACAGGATATAACAAATTAAAAATATAGATTAAGATTAATAATACAAGAAATCTATGTAAGAATTAGAAGCTCAGCAAAGGAGATGAATCTTTACTGATATTCTAAATGCTGAGAGACCTAGCACAAATGCAACTTTGGAAGAAGACTGTTCCACATAGATTGGGAGCCACTAAGCCTCTCCCACATTCATTCATTCATTCATTCATTCATTCATTCATTCATTCATTCATTCATTTTTCAAATGTATATATGCCACCCATCTCACTATACAAGTGACTCTAGGCAGCGTTACAGATAAAAAACTAGAAAATCCCAGAAAATTATATAGGTTAAAAAACTACAAGAGGTTAAAAAATTAAGCTAAAAAGTTAAAACCACAGTGCAAACTAAAAAGGCGGAGGGAGTATCCTCCGGCTACCAGCCACCCCCAGGGCTGCGAACCCCTGTTGGGCCCCCTGCAAGTTGGCAGAACCAGCTCTTAATGCCCCTTCAGAAGGCCAGCAGAGTGGGAGCCAATCCCACCTCAGGGGGCAGGATATTCCATAAGGTGGGAGCCATGGCAGAAAAGGGTCTCCTCCTGGACCCACCAGTTGAAACTCTCTAGGCGACGGGGTCCATAACATACCCTTCCTGCCAGAGAGGTGGGACAGGTCAATGTAATGGGGATGAGATGGTTCTTCAGGTAACCTGGCCCCATGAAGGGCTTTAAAGGTCATAACCAGCACCTTGAATTGGATCCAGAAGCAGACCGGCACCCAGTGCAGCTCGCGCAGCAGAGGTGTTACATGTACAGTCCTAGAGGCGCCCACAACTGCCTGTGTCACTGCATTCTGCACCAGCTACAGCTTCCAAATGTTCTTCATCTGCCAGACAGACACACCTTTGACCAGGTGGGCAACTTCAAACAATATCAGGGTTTATATTGAAGTGACGCAATCCCTAAGATGGACAGACCCTAGACTTCTTAGGACTTCAGACCAAAACTAACTCCTTAAAGTTGGTAAGGACAACCACTGCAGCTCTTTTTGTACAGCAACTTCATTGTTAATTCTGATACTGGCACTGGACCACACAACTACAACTTTCAAGGATAGGACATTTTAATAGTCAAGACTGGAGGTAAGCAAAGCATGGAGAACCATCACCAGATCTAACCAGCTCAACAAGGTTCACAACTAGTGCACCAGACACAACTTGCACAGCTTCTACCTGCAAATCTGGTGACATCTGAGGATGAAATAGCACTGCTCTTTGGGGTGTGCAACCCAAACAGATAGAACTTCAATCCTTGAATCCAGTTTTTTTATTTCTTAACAACATCTCCATCTTCCCTAGATTTAATTTCAGCTTGTTTTCCCTCATCCACCCAATTATTGGGGATAGCCAACATTCTTTTACCAGTTGAATCCTCCCATCCCAACATCAAAAGAACCACATGATGACTTAACACAATCTGGGATCTCAGCAACCCTGATTTGCAGGAACCAGCCATGCCATAAGCCATAGAAGAGAATAGTGTATAAGCCACTGTATAGGAATAGCAAATTTATCCATAAACAGGGAATGTTCTTCACCCAGAGAGAACATTATTTCCAAAATCTCTTGTCAACAGGCTCCTGCCACTTAATTCCATTTGCAAATAAACTTTTGAAATGGCAACAGGAATGCTTACTTTACACACTGTTTATCTCCCTCTCACTGGGTTCATACAACATGGTTGGCAAATATGTGACAAGTTACCTTATGGATGGCTGCCAGATCGGGACTGTAAGAATCCAGTTCAACAGTGGAGACAGCAGTAACATTGCCTGGGTCTCTTTCTTGCCACTTGACTGTCATTTGGAGTTTTACAGCCCAGATATAACTCAGCTTATAACTTAGTGTGTAATGTTAACTCAACCAAGTATGTCTAGCTGAAGGTTTGATGAGTTTTGGGAATGTGTGCAATTGTTCAATAAATAATTGAATAATGATAATTCAGTAAACTCTGGTTCAGTTAACCATGGGTTAGTATGTTGAATGAACTGTAACCCAAGCATCCTCAGCTATGGTAGCTTACTGGGTAACCCAGCCTGGTCACTATTTCTCAGCCCAACTTATCCTACACAGTTGTGGGAAAATGGGAGATGTGTTTTCTATGCTGCTTTGACTG